AAACGATAATTGATGACGAAATTAATGGAAGCAATCGAAAAAGAAATTTACTGGCACCAGTAAATTGATATCTGAATTAATGAATTACTGAAAATATTCTTGACATCAATTTAATACATTGATATAAGACAAAAAAGAGAAACATAAAGTTAATATTGAACTCATAACATGTTTTTGCACATATTTAAATTAATGAAAACGAAGCATTATTTTTCGACAGAATTTTACTAAGTTTAAACGTGCTTGTACATTATTGGAGTTAAAAAGCTGACCCATTTTCAGTGTATTTGGTCTTTCAATAAAATATTTATCGATGAACAATTTTCTGTCTGATCGAAAGGTAGGGCAAACAAACAAGTAATGAAACTCATCCCCAAGCGATTGCAAATTGCACAGCGTACATAGCCTCATTTCCCTTGGAGTATTTGAATATCTACCAGCTACAATCGGCAGGTAATGATTGCCACAGCGAAAACGACTTAATATTGACCGATCTCTTTTAATGAGATCGATTAAGTATCTTTCTAAACATAAAGAATGTTTGAAGATTCGATAGTTAACACAATGCGAATTATCGTACATACAATCAGACCAATACTGAGCATGAGAATCTCTAAATCGACGTTCCACGGTTTGTTTGACCCACTCATATATGTAGCTAGTATTTTCACAAATTTCCCATAAATTAGACATCCCCATATTGTCCAGATTCAGCTTGATTTTTTTTAACCAAGGTGCCTGATATATATTCTTCTCAAAGACTAGTTTTAAGATAATATACACCTTTTTTACCAGAAAATTTATCCTGTCCACTATGTACAACCCTACACCAGAAGTTTATCATTCTGCTTTCAATATATTTCTCAAGTTTAAGCCTCCCCAATTCACCAAGTACCATACAATTTGCAGTTGTTTTGTTGACAGAAAGGGCTTGCTTACAAAATTTCATGTGGAAGATGTCAAGATCGTGTATCACTTCAAATCCCCATATCTCACTTCCATAGAGCAGAATAGGCAACACAAGTTGATCAAATAATTCCAAGAGGATATCAATAGGTAAGTGCAGTTGATAAGCTTTAGATAATAGACTATATATTGCTCGTCTAGCTTGATTAAGTTGCTTAATTTGTGCTTTACGAAATTTGTTGTAGTTAAAAGTAGTTCCAAGATAGATGTATTCATCAACAACTTCTACAATATCATGATCAAATTTAAATATAGGAATTTTACGAACTTTACCACGAGAAAATACAACAACTGTGGTTTTAGCTGTGTTAACTTGAAGAAACCATTTTTTCAGTAATCAGATACTGCATAATATGCGCGCATAGCTTTCTTTTATGCGCAACCTTAAAAGTAGAAATAGGCCGCACGTATGTTGCTGAAGCTGATTCCCCGCATTGTGACGTCACAGTGATCGACCTTTTTTCCTGCTGTGTAAACACGATCACATTTGCCCGCTTTAGAGGGTTAACCCGCCTCGCGGCTTCAACCCGGCTTCAATCCTCGAGGCGGATCACTGTGTAAACACGGTAAATGTGTGACCGGGCCTGGAACGCGGCACACGTCTGCTAAATTGACCAATCACCGCCTGTTATTTAGCAGACGCGTGCAAGGTGCGATATCACACGCCTGCTAGTTTGTTAGCACACGTGTGCCTTTTTCCAGACGGATGCTGTTTACTGCGCATGCGTCTGGAATTGATCGACCAATCAGATACCTTGTTTTAATATGGAGTTTAATGTGTGTGTGTGTGTGTGTACGGTGAGTGCTTGCAGCGCAGGCAAGCAAAATTGTGCCGGGCACGTGTTGATCGACGCACGTGGTCCTCTTACCGTTCTTAAAAGTATTGACTTTGATTTCTATGTCAGAAAAGAAGTATACATTGTAAGAGTACTTCCATTGAGGTTGGAACTTTATGATGCAAAGAATAGTATGTCAAATTATAAACGAGGTACCGAACTGCTATATGATACACGTTTATCCTCCACCTAGTATTGGAGTTTGTAAATACTATAAAGCTAGTCTAGGGTTGATAAAGAAAAGGTAAGTCTAATATCATGAATGGTAGTTTCCAGATTTACAATCTATCATTCAGAACCTACTCTAATCGCAAATTAGGTGATATAATATGCAACAGTGCCATTGTGATAATATGTATGATCCACAACAGAGTAGATCTCTCCACTGGCGTACCTATGGGGGGGCAGGGGGGCAGAGTGCCCCCCTGACGGGTTCCAGGGGGAAAAAAGAAAAAAGGGGAAAGAAAAGAAAGGGAAAGGAAAGAAAAAGAAAAAAGGAAAGAAAGAGAAAAAAGGAACAAAAGGAAAGAAAAAAGGAAGAAGAAGAGAAAAGGAAGAAAAAGGGAAAAGAAAAGGAAAGTAAAAAAAATGGGGGAAAAAATAAAGAACATGGCCGTAAGCACCAGGGGGGGGGGGGGCAGTTGACCCCAGATATTTTGAAATCGTACAGTTTTTTTCCTGAAAATGTAGTGTAGGCCTATACCAAATCCTTCAATTCTACTTTTGAAAATGCAAAAGTACCCTCATGACCAGTTCGGTCGCTCGAACTTCCTTCACTCCTTTTGCTTTTGAGATTCTTCGAAAACTTTTAACGGATCTTTCCCCCTTCCCCCATCAGAAAAATATTCCGCATACGGCCCTGAAAAATTAAAACAAATAGGAAAATATAAGTGATATAACAAATTTGAAACTCTTCGCTGGCGCGAACTGCTTGCTAGCCTATTTTGTATTAAATGTTTTCACTTCCTCGTCCCCCTGAAAAAAGAAAAGGATTAGTATTGCCTAGAATACAATTGTGCCTGCCCCGACGGGCCCCGACCTGCAACCATGGCAACAATAACACACAATATTATGTACCAAATGTTACTAAAAGAGACTAATTCATTTTTCTCGCTCGCTACACTCGCTCGCGAATAAAATGAATAGACATTGCTTTGGAAACAATTGTGCCCACCCTTGACCTGCAACAATATCATTACAAATGGAAGAGTTTTTTCGCCCTCTCGCCAAAAAGGAATTGAATCGCGTTAAACGCGATTGCGTCCATCCTGACCTGCACCAATAAAAACAAGTTTATTTATTAATTTCTATTAAAAGAGAATTTATTTTTTTTGCTTGCTCGCTATGCTCGCTCGCCAAAATGGAATTGACACCGCTAACGTGCCCGCCCCAACCTGCAACAACCAGTTAATAATTATGTACGAAACGTTATTCAAAGAAGTTTTGGTGTGCTCGTGCTCGCCAAAACGGAATTAACATCACCTTAGACATGATTGTGTAAGCCCTGCCCTGCAACAAAAAAATCTGAAATTTATGAACCAATTATCATTACAAAAATTTTGCTCGCTCGCTACGCTCGCTCGCCAAAATAGAAACAACACCGCTTTTAATAATCACGTCCCTGACATGGAACAATTAAACCAAGTTTATATACCATATTTTCCCTATAAAGAGAAGTGATTTTTTTTTGCTCGCTCGCTACGCTCGCTCGCCAAAATAGAATTAACACCGCTTTTAATAATCACGTCCCTGACATGAAACAATGAACCCAAGTTTTATGTACCATATTTTCCCTATAAAAGAAAAGTGATTTTTTTTCGCTCGCTACGCTCGCTAGCTCGTGGAATTATGTGCCCACCACAAACCTGCTACAATATCATTAAAAAGAGAAATGTAGGGGGTTGCCTGCCCGCCAAAATGGGATTGACATTGCCTTAAACACGATTGTGCCCGCCCCCTATCTGCAACAATGAAACAAATTTTATATAGCAATTCATTGAGAGAAAGATGTATTTTCGCTCGCTAGCTAAAATGGGTATAAAATCACCCTAAACACAATATTGTTCCCGCGCCCTGCATGGGACAATTGAACCAAGTTTAAGTGGCAATTATTAAAAAAGAAGTGATTTTTTTCTTGCTCGCTACACTAGTTTGCAAAAAAATGAAATTAACGTCGCTAACAAGTGAATGTTCCCACCCCCAACTTGCAACAATACCAGTTTATATACCAAACGTTACTTAAAGATTTTTTTTTGCTCGCTCGCTCGCTCGCCAGAAGTGAAAATTAGCATCGCCTTTTTTGTTTGTTTCGGTCGCTTGCCCCCCCCCCCTGACGGAGTACCCCAGGTACGCCACTGGATCTCTCCCCCTCTTCCATCTCTCCCTTATCTCTCTTGGGTCACTCTGTACAGAGGTCAACCGTCACTCGTGATAGGGGAACACACACACACTCTCTCTTCCTCTCCCTTTCTTCCCCAGTATTCTCGTTCATGTTGTGTTGTTGAGCAACACGCTCCATTGGGCTAGGACAGGGGGATTAGTGATAGGAGGCATGTTTGCTTTTAATAGCTCAGATTAGAAGTTGGAAACATACAGCGTGTCCACACACAAAACAATTTATTCCGAAACTCTATTACGAAACGTCGTATAAAGAATCATAGTATGAATATCAAAGTGTCCACACACAAGAAACGTCATATAAATAATCATCGCATAAATTCAAGGATGTCCATAAACAGAAGAAAGTAATCCTGAAACTCTACAGTCTGGTCTCCTTTCGCTCGAGGTCACGTTAAGACCCGCCCAATTAGTTACACTAGTCACACTCCCCCTGTCCACACACAACATTTTCCGTGATTAGGCGTGATTAGGCGTGATTCTTTATTGAGTTTCAGTTCGAAACGATGCCCAAACCTGCGTTTCGTTAGACTAGTTTCGTTACACGACGTATCGTTAGTGAGCGTCCACACACACAATTTCATCGTAAAACTATCGCGAAACGGTATAGCTAATCACGGAAAATGTTGTGTGTGGACAGGGGGACTGTGAAGAGTTTGCATTTGCTTGGCACAAGCAAACTTCTTGGCACAAGGGATTGTCTGACCATTATTATTTGGTAGTTTTCAATCTAATAAACCTGCTCATATAATTATCCCATAGGCCTAATTGTATTTAAAGGTTGATGTTTGGATGTTGAAGTTGAAGTTGAAGTTGAAGCCGCAGTAAAATCTCTGAAGAAAGGCAAGTCGGCAGGAGTGGACAACATTTCATCAGAGCTGGTCCAGGCAGGAGGAGAGGCCATGATTGATATGTTACTCATCATCTGCAACAAGATCTGGCAGACAGGAGAGTGGCCATCACCTTGGACTCAGTCCCTGATCATCACTCTCCCGAAGAAGGGCAACTTACAACTATGCCAAAACTACCGTACCATCAGCCTGATCAGTCATCCAATTAAGGTCATGCTAAGAATCCTCATCAATATACTGAAGCCACAAGCTGAGGAGATCATCAAAGAAGAACAGGCTGGTTTCAGAGCAGGAAGGATCACAACTGAGCAAATTCTAAATCTAAGAATACTCTGTGAGAAGTACCTGCAACACCAGCAAAACCTCTACCACGTCTTCGTGGACTTCAAGAAGGCGTTTGACAGAGGCATGCAGCTTTGTGGGCAACCATGAGGCTGTATAACATCAACGCCAACTTGATCAGAACCATCGAATGCCTCTACGACAAGGCAACCAGCGCAGTCAACCTTGACAACAATATAGGAGAATGGTTCCGAACCACAATCGGAGTACGTCAAGGATGTCTACTCTCCCCCACTCTCTTCAACATCTTTTTAGACAGAATAATGGATGACGCACTAAAAGACCATGAAGGAACAGTCAGCATCGGAGGCAGGACAATTACAAACTTGCGTTTTGCTGACGACATTGACGGCCTAGCTGGACAAGAGCAAGAGCTAGTCAACTTGGTAAAGCACCTTGAAAAGGCCTCCAGGTCATATGGCATGCAGATCAGTGCAAAAAAGACCCGGTTGATGACAAATAACACCAATGGCATCAGCACCGACATTACCGTAAATAACAAGAAACTGGAGACAGTCCGTTGCGTTTTGCTGACGACATTGACGGCCTAGCTGGACAAGAGCAAGAGCTAGTCAACTTGGTAAAGCACCTTGAAAAGGCCTCCAGGTCATATGGCATGCAGATCAGTGCAGAAAAGACCCGGTTGATGACAAATAACACCAATGGCATCAGCACCGACATTTCCCGTAAATAACAAGAAACTGGAGACAGTCCGTAGCTTCAAATATCTGGGAGCTATAGTATCGGATGAGGGATCCAAACTTGAAGTACTCTCCAGGATAGCCCAGACCACAGCTGCAGTGACCAAACTAAAAGTCATTTGGACAGACAAAAACATCGCCATCAGCTCCAAGATCAGACTGGTGCGCTCCCTGGTCATGTCCATATTTCTGTATGCATGTGAAACGTGGACCATAACAGCAGACTTTGGAAGAAGGATACAGGCACTCGAGATGAGATGTTTCCGCAAACTCCTCGGTATCTCGTATAGAGATCACATAACCAACGAGGTAGTGAAAAACAGAATCGAAAACGCCATCTGGCCGTTTGAAGACCTCCTGATCTCAGTAAAAAGACGTAAACTGAAGTGGTACGGGCACGTCACACGATCATCTGGACTGGCCAAGACTATCCTACATGGAACAGTACAGGGAGAAAGACGAAGAGGCAGACAGAAGAAACGATGGGAAGACAACATCAAAGAACGGACTGGCCTTGACTGGAACATCATACGGAGGAAAGCTGAGAACCGCGAGGAATGGAGGAAGCTGGTTGTAAAATCTACAGTGGTGCCCCAACGGTCAACCAGACTACGGGACAGATGAGATGATGAGAGTTTGGATGTTGATTGGCTTATAATACAAAATGTATTGCTGTATATTGCATAAGTGGAAGTTATCACATTTCTTAGAGACAATCAATATTCTTTAGTCTATATTTCTTGTCTTGTTTATAGTTTATGATTATTCCTTTATATTTCTATGTTATATGTCATATGGGTAGTCGAGGCATAATAATAGTGCAATATTTATAGGTGAATCACCTGCAGATTGCAGTATTGATTGATAAGCTCGTTTTTCCTAAAACGATATTTACACCTGAGATTATGTATGTGTTGTGTGCTGGAGGAATACAACATATTTCTCTGTTAGTATTATTATTTCTAAATCTGAGAGGATAATAGATTAGCGCGTTTAGATGAGATTGCCTAGGTACAAATTAGTGTTAGGGTTTAACGGATCACCATCAGGGGCGTCTCCAAAGGGGGGGGGGGGGGTGGGGGGCGGGGGTGCGACACCCCCACCTGTCAGGATATTGTCGGTAAAATTGCGCTGCCGTCGGGAAAAAAGAGAAAAGGGGGAGGGGAAAAAAGAGAGGGAAACGGAAAGAAAAGAAAAAAAAGAAAGGAAAAGAAAAAAAAGAAAGGAAAAGAAAGGAAAGAAAGAAAAGAAAGGAAAGAAAAGAGAAGAAAGAAAGAGAAAAAAAGAAAAAGAGGGGAGGAGAGAAAAAAAAGGAAAAGAAAGAAAAGAAACGGGGATGAAAGAGAGGAGAACGAAGGGAGGTAAGAGCCTGAGAGAGGAGGAGTGGGAGTAAAAGAGAGAAGGGGGTTGTTGGGTGGAGTCGTCCCGTCGAGGGAGCAAGAAAGACACGGGTAAATATGTTGCTGTGTCGGGTCAGCTATGTCGGTATTCTTGCTCGATCCTCGTGTACTACATGTATATCAATGCAGAAGTTTGAAGTCGGTGAGATGTGTATTGTCGGTCGGCCGACAAGTTTTTTCCCCTACAAACTGTGACTTTTTATTCGCTGTGACGACTTTGAGAGTGACTACAACTACTATACTTGTATTTTCTCGAAGTTACACTTTCCTATAATATCAGCTAAAGAAATTAGAGGTTTGAAATTTTCGGGGAAAATGAATTCAGACAAGAATAAGGAGTCAAGAATGGTACAACAAATCGTCTTCTTTCTCCAATAATTAATGAAAGGTAAATCACCAGCGGCGTGCCAACGTACTAACACTGAAACATAATGTTAACGTGACATTTCAATCATTAATTTGATATCGCAGTAATTTGAAACAGCTCCCCTAAGTACTTTTAAAGAAATAAAATTGTAAATCTCCATCGTGCCTAGAAAGACAAATGGAAATGTTATATTCCTTATTCGGTCAATGACCAGACGACGGATGGACCAACTAGCCAACGCTCCTTATTTCCTATATTATTTTTGTTTGACAATGAGGGACGGGCCAACGTGCCAACGCGCCAACGCACCTTATTTCCTTTCTTTGTTTGCCATTGAAAGGACACCATAAGTTCCCGATTTTTTGTTTTCCCCTTTACTTTTAGGCTACCTATTTCCTATATTATTTTCGTTTGGCAATGACGGGGGGGGGGGGGGGGGGAGGGAGGAGGCTAACGTGCATGCCAACGCACCTTATTTCCTTTCTTTGTTTGCCATGTAAAGGACACCATAAATTCCCGAATTTTTTCCCCTTTAATTTTAGGCTACTTTTCGACAGTAGTTACATTGATTTCTGACGATTTTCAAGCAATATCAAGGGTAAAACATTACAACTAAGGTGAGAACATCTTTAACAAACTATAAATAAAATACTTTGATGGGTAAGAGGTAATAGGAAGGAGTTAAAACATAACAAAAACCCATATTTCCATTCTCGAGTTGATGCGATGGCAAATTCAGAAACTGGTCACGAATACGAAAGGAAGGGACTACACTAAATTGGTACGTTGGCGCGTTGGCGACCAACGGACATAGGTCTACTACGTTTTGGTGGGGTATTCTAAAGTTAAGCCCAAGGATTAAGAGTCGAGCACAGTTCAACGAATCGTCTACTTTCTCTAATAATTTAATGAAACGCCAAATCTTCAGAGCTTCGCGCGGGAGGGGGAGAACTGAATTCAGATAAGGATTAAGAGTCGAAAACAGTACACCGAATCGTCTGCTTTTTCTCAGCGTCCGCGTCCGGCCCGGCAACTCCCCGCCCAATTCCCAACCCGGCCCGGAGCAGGATATGGCGGTCAAATACGCAAGTCAGCTCAGCTGAGCTCACTCAGCCTCAGGCACAAAACGAAAGCGATTTTTTTTCTTCAACTTACCCTTTTTTTTATCTCTTCACTGCAGCCGGTCGTGTTGGTAAATCTTGCTTCTTGGAAGACTTGACTCCAAATCTGATCGTTGGAATAGCCGAATCTTTAAGCTTGCTTCTCCTTTTCTTCATGCCAAATTCGGAATACCGTACAGGCCAGGATTATTAAAATCATCTACTGCAAATTGTGCTCCACTCACTTACCCTTGTCACTCTGCCCGCGTGAGCTTCACCTTTGCAACCCATATTTTCCGTAGATTTTCATCTTTAGGAAAGCTATTTTAGGCTAACATCATCTTTCGGAGTCTTGCTACAACCCGCAACAATACATTGATTTGGCATTATTATGATACTGTAAACTAATAAAATAATCTCTGCCAATCAATCACAACGAATTCCAGACAACTCGCCACAAAGACAACCCTCCCCAAGACAACCCGCCACAATACCCTGGACATCTCGCCACAATACCCTGGACAACAGGCGAGTTGTCCAGGGTGGGGTGCCTTTTCGGACAACTCGCCACACTTTTTTCCCCTCATGATTTCTAGATCTAAAAACACTCATCTTAGATAAAATTGTCATTTTTCATGATTTTCGTGCTTTTATAAACACAGTCATTACAGGAAACATGGAAATTGTGAGTATTTCGAGAGCTGTTCTAAAGAATAAATTTGATTTTAGACTAAAGATTTTAAACTTAGACTATGTTGTGGCATCATCATCGAAAACCAAAACTTTAAACTTTACAATAAAAGTAACTTAGTATGAAGGTTTTGGTTTCCTTTAACCTAAAGTGACTCTCACACTCTGCCGTGTAGGCCTACCGTGTGCCACCGTGCGCGAAAATGTCTGCGGACGGTGGAGAACGGCGAGGGCACACGGTGGTTCGTTATCAAAGCGGGCAACACGTTAATAGGGCGTTGGCGCTTATTTACACCCGGTGGGACCCGGCGAAAGATTTGGGCATGTTCCAAACTTTGGCCGGCTGGCACCGGCCGCAAGTAAGCGGCAAGAGGACGGTGTTGAACGGTATGAGGACGGTATGAATACGTTATGAAAACGGTCACACTGTATGAACACGTTCACAACACGCTCATAACCCGTTACAGAACGGTGATGAAAAATGGAGAGCGGACTGACCGTTGCCGTTCAAATCGGGGTATTTATGGCAGTCGTGTCATGACGTCAGCAGTCCGGGGACTCGCTCACAGGACGCTCCGAGCGGTGAGGGGACTCTAAGTGACTGGTAGGTGGCTGCTACAAACCCGGTGCACACGTTCGAGACCCGGTATGGGCCCGGTATGGAAACGGCCAAAATTTTCAACAAAAGTCAATCTGGGCGGTGAAGACGGTAGAAGCACGTTCAACACCCGGTAAGCGCCCGGTGAGAACGGTCAGAAGATGGCAACGAAACGGTGAAAAGATTAATTTTATGAATTTTTTTTTGCGGCCGGGGACAAGTTCGCTCAAAACC